AGGGTCCATAAAGGGTGTCTTTGGATGATTTTACACAGACGTGTCTAACATAATGGAAGTAAGAGAATTCAAGTGTATGCCATACAGACATGCATTCAGATCACGTGACACTTAGTGATATTTATGCTTAAACCTACTTTGATATTTAGTACAGTCTTAGGTGGGAAAGCAGTGTAGATATTAAAAAATAAAAGGATGGGAACAATTCTGTCCCACGGTAATATTATGACATGGCATTTAAAAATGACCTGTCAGTATTTTGGCAACATTTTTCAATGTATTGATTTATACACTGTTATGTGTTCATTTTACAGATATATTAACTATGCCTTATAGAACCGTGCTGAAAAGCAGTACATTCTGCTTATTTTAAAGATGGGAAAATCTGAAAATAAGTTTAAGAAAATGAAGATCATAGTCTGGTTGGAAAAGATTAGTACTAAGAAACCCATCCACTGAATAAATCTCTGCTTATATTTCCATTGGAATAATTTTCAAAGCTATGTTGAATATACTGACATTGTCAGAAAAAGAACCTCTACCCACAACCTTCCTACCCACTGGTAATACCTATAAATGCTCTTATATGTGTTCTCTGGGACCAGCTGCAGCAGTTTTACTCATATTCTGCATAACTTCTGTAGGAGACCCGATCCCTCCGGAGATTCATGAATTACAAAAGCTGTTTGAGTTCACACTTTGGTTGCAGATGAAAAGACCCACAAAGACCCAGCCAAAGGGAAATGGGAGACTTGTGGGCTCATGTACAAGCACAGCTGGAGGGAAGGTAGCCTTAGGCACATAGAGAACCAAGAACGCAAATACCACTAGGAAGCTCCTTACTTACAACTCAGTGTGCTTGTGTTTCAGCTTGTTTTGTCCAACTGGAACTCAGCTGCTAGGGTGTGCATGTGTGTAAGTATGTATGTGTGTGTGAGTGAAGGGGGAAAATGGGGTGTTGGTGCCAGACTCACATTCTTATGGCTTAGTGACCAAAAAGGAATAGGAAAATTAGCTTCTCTTTCATCTCCAGTTTTTAAACATGGGAGAAAGGACCTTACTGGTATATCCTGGCTCATAGCCACCCCCTCCCCAG